GGCGAGCCGCTATCGTCGGATCATCAGGATGGAATGGGAGGTAGAGTTGAGTGTCATCAGCCAAATGCCATGTTTCTGAAAGACAGAACCTAGTGAAGAGAAGTGGTCCAAGAACTGAGCCCTGAGGCACCCCAAAACACCAGTGTGAAGGGGTGTGTTGATGTGAGTGAGTGCAGGTACATCTGCAGGAGAAATGGCTTGAAGAAGATCAGATGGAATAGGATCAAGCGGACAAGTAGTAGGATGATTAGAAAGGATGAGTTGGTAGACTTCTGCCTCAGAGAGTGAAGAGAAGGATGTGAACGAGTGTATGTTTGCTGGTAAGATGTGCTTGACAGATTGTGGTGTGGAAAATTGTGCACTGATGGTTTTAATTTTATTAATGAAGAACGTGGCAAAGTCGTCAGCTATTAGAGTTGATGAAGGAGGGGGAGGAGGAGGACAAAGGAGGGATTAAAAAGATTAATTAAAAATTAATCAAAGATCACCTTTGCATAGGATGTATACACATTCTTCCAACACATATTTATCATTCCTTTACTTGTAAAGCCCTCAGATATGAACACTGCATGGATGAGGGGTGTAGTACTCTAGTTCTTGGAATTGGTCTTTTGCCAGTTGGGTTTCAAAAGAGTATATTGAAGATCTCCACAGTTGGTGTGTATTGAGAAGCGGTGATAGACTTGGTCTTGAGACCAGAGTGCACTAGGAAGTTAAAGGATTAGTTCACTTTCAAATTAAAATTTCCTGATAATTTACTCACCCCAATTAGTGTTAATTTTGTCAGCTATTTTCATTTTAGTCTTAGTCTTAGTCCCGGGCTAAAATGTCCTTGTTAGTTTTTATCATATTTAGTCAACCTTATCCTATTTAGTTTTAGTCAAGTTTTAGTCGACTAAAAGTCTCAACATTTTAGTCTAGTTTTAGTCCAAGAAAATCTGAAGTATTTTAGTCTAATATTAGTCAATGAAAACTTGACATTTTAATAATTATTAATTAACTTTTTTGATTGAGAATCTAGGCAAAAACAAATGACCCTTGACTTCATATTTAGCACACAGTTTCACAGAATACATTTTAATGAACTCTGTGACCCCTTTTCGTGAACCCTTCTGACCACCCTGCACCACAATTTTACAAATGTTATGTAGTGCAAGTTCATTCTGGAAGTGGAGCAAGGTTCCTGAGTTTGGGGGGAAAGGTCAGGCTTGTTGGCCTCTATGCACATTGTTACCATAGCTGCACTGCCAGATCTGAACTTTGATTTATGGTCATCTTTTATGCTTTGAGGCTGGCTTTGAAAGGGACAAAGACAGGCAAACTAGAGAAAAGAGGGGTAGAAAAGACAGAAGGAAGATGCTGAGAGTTAATAGGCTTTTGCTGTACTTGCACTAATTTGCCGTCCTGACTTTGAGCAGCAGGTTCTGCCAAAATGTCACCATGTTCAGTATTTGGAAACATGAATGAGGGTGAAGGTTTAAAAGTACAGGGGTATTATGGCTTGCTTTCCTTAAAAAAAAAATATAGCCTCAGTTGAAAGAAAAATTTAATTCTCAATTAAAGTTGAGATCCAGCGCCATTTACTGTGATGTATGTAAAAATAAATCTTTAGGGGCCGCTAACCTGATGACCACTAGCACAAAGGATGAATCCAATATGATATTAAAGCAACGTGTCTATAATAATTTTACCTTGTACCTAAATCTTGCAGGGTTATGCAAAAAAAATCAGGATTAAAGAATTATCTCTCTTTTAGTTCATGAGTTGGAATTTGATATGACAGAATGAGGAATCTGCCTGTCTTTCATGGCTGTTTACATTTATTTTTTGTAACTTTCAAGCAAGCAGTGTTGTAGTATAGTGTTGTTTTTGGCAGCCTGTTTTAATTTTAGTTTTAGTCTAGTCTTTGTGTGAAGCTGTCATTTTAGTTTTTATTAGTTTTAGTCACGTTCGTAGTATTTGAGTCCGGACAAAACCGGGCTCGGACTGAAGTCCAAGATCATAGGAGCATTTTAACCGGTCTTGGACTCGTGTTTAAGATGAACTCGATTATTATAACACCACAAACAAGCCTTTGTACATTGAAAAATTCAGATATGTTTAACTAGAAACGCAAAGTTTTGACGCATTAAAGAATTACAACATTTATTTTTCCAAAATTTCAAAATTCCTTTTAACTGTTTTTGCTATCATTTGCTACCAGAGTCTAAATTCAGTTATACATTTTACATAATTCCCTGTCTGCACAAAATTTTGTCTGCACTTCCCACCCCTATTAGTATCAGAATCCATGCTGATACCAGTTGCTGATTTTCTGTCAGCATCACAAGTCATAAGTTGGTCCATCTGAAATTTTTAGTACATTTACACAACACCCAGCAGCCTCTAAAAAACATGATACCCATCCTTTTCCTCTTTGCTAACTGAGAGAAGGTGAATAATGCTCTGTAGCTCTTTCTCCCCATGACCTACATTCTGTTGTTCTTTTTTGTCAGGAGACTTGATGAACTATCATTAATTATTTATGGCAGTTTTTCTCTCCTGTTCAGGCTGCTCTTGTTGTGACATATTTCACATTAAATAATTTAAAGTCCTGGTTTTTTATTGCAAATTGATGCAATGACATGCTTTGATAGTAAATTATTATTATTATTATTATACATACAAACTACATTATTATTATTTATTATATTTAAAAAAAAAAATGTATATCTCGTTAATGTGAAATGTGAATAATAGCCAGTGAACAGGTAATTAGCCCAAACACAAATTCATGCTTATGTTTGCGAAGAGTGCCTGAGCTTTTTAAAGATTATTATAGCCAAAGCCAAATCAAAAGTTCTTTTACACAATGATTAAGGAAACTAGGATTCATAGAGCTCATTCAAAACCTCTCAGTTCATTAGCTGCTGAGTGTCGTGCTACGGTGGGTCAGAAAAAGACATTGTTGACATGTTGACCAAGGTTATTATAGTTTTGCATTTTTAAATTCGCTTTATTTTAATATCGTTTTCAAATTTGCAATAAAATTTAGTTTAGTTTTTATTAGTTTCTGACTTTGGCTAATTTAACCTTAGTGATGCAAATGTCTAGCGACACAAAATTAAAGCATGCTGAGATTGATTAGATGGTAAAAGTATACAAATACACACCAAAATGAAGCAGTCATGCCTTTTTAAATCTACACAAGTTGCGCTTACATGATGCGGTTGTGTATGAGCAAATTAAAACCAAAATGCAACAGCATGGTTTCTCGAGAGAGAAATCACAAGTAATAAGTATGCTCAAGTTTTTGACTCGTACATTACACGTCACATCCTGATGTCACGTGTCATTACGGGACCTTCACGGGTTGTGTGTGAACGCACACACAGATTTCGGGAAATCACTGGCAGTGTGAATGAACCAAAATCTAACAATCTGGAAACAATTCCCGGGACACATTACCCATGTATTTTCCGGAATCTCTCTGTGAAAAGGGCTAATGATTAATTAAAAAATGAAATATTGACTAAATTATAAAAAAAAACTACACCAAACAAGCAAAAAAAACTGTTTAAAAAAATTAACATTGTCACAAATAACAGGCAATCTTTAAAACCTTTGTGATAGTGCAATGGTTGATTAACAGGTGAGAACTTAATTGTTGTTCAGGTTACATCTGGATAGATTAACAACTACTACAAAGGCAAATTGGTCACATTTGTTTCTGACTTTATCTGAACGTGGAATGAACAAACATTTTAGGAGATTAACACTTATACTCCCTGTGCTCTCTCAGTCACTCACACCCACATGCAAACTCTTATGTCTGTACTCTTTGTTGTTGTTTTATAACTAGGTGGTTTTAATCTCTTTGGTTTTTGTCTTCATGTACTAATGGAAGTCTGACTTTTTGTTCCAGGTCCAGGTGCCCCCACCTCATGGAGAAGATTGGCAAGGTGTGGAGTAACCTGAAGAAGGGATGTCAATCTCTGCTCCTCACAGATGGGGGTTCTTGCTTTGAAACGCCACAACAGCTTCAACCGCAAACAGACACAGTATGCCAGAGTGTGGACAAGGCCCAGGGAGACAGCACACTGGAGGCTGCTAGTCCCTCTAGCAGTGTGGTGGCACTCCCTCTAGTGGCATGGAGGACCAGTGGGAGTGTGACACGACAGGGCCATAACTGTGTAGTGGATGTACCCCAGATACTAGAGATCACAGTTGAGCAGGATACCGAAGATGCTCGTGCTCCTCTGGGAGTCCGCAGAGACTCTTATTCACGTCATGCACCTTGGAGTGGAAAGAAGAGACACTCATGTTCCACTAAGGCTCAGAGTTCTCTGGAGACCACAGATCGGCGATCAGGCCGGTCTCTGCGCAGACATGGGACTGGTAGCAGCCGTGAGGAACTGGAGTCAGGGGCAGCACGCTCCCTACGGCAGCAGATTCATGATACAGTGGGCCTGTGCCTCCCACTGCGCTCATCCTCTCGGAACAGTCACCTTCCACCACCCAAACGTAAGATACAAATCACAGAGCTGATGCTGGAGACGTGCCCCTTTGCACCAGGATCAGACCTTGCCCGAAAATGGCACCTAATTAAACAGCACACGTCACCATTCACAGTGATACCAGTGGATTCATCCTCAGATGCTTGCGGTGCTGCCTGTGCATCACCAGAAGATGAGGAGGAGCGCTTACGCGAAAGAAGACGACTCAGCATTGAGGAGGGTGTGGACCCACCTCCAGATGCCCAAATCCACACAGTGGAGGCCATCACAGCCCCCCTAGCTTCCCTTTATAAGCTGGGACCTAAATTGGCCCCTGGAATGGGTGAGGCCCTAGGCGATAGCCGGGGGGCAACAGCAGCTAACTGTGACTCTGAGGACGACGATACCACCACTCTTTGCTTGCAAGCTCGCAGGCCCAAGCAGCGGCACGCTTCGGCTGAGGGCCTCCTGAGCAGCAAGCAACCGGGCCCTTGGAAAGTACACACTCAGATTGACTACATCCACTGCTTGGTTCCAGATCTGCTACAGATCACAGCACTTCCCTGCTACTGGAGTGTGATGGACCGTTATGAGGCTGAAGCGCTGCTGGATGGTCGGCCCGAGGGAACCTTTCTGCTGCGAGACTCTGCTCAAGAAGACTACCTGTTCTCCGTTAGCTTCCGCCGCTATGGCCGTTCGCTGCATGCACGCATTGAGCAGTGGAATCACAACTTCAGCTTTGATGTGCACGACCCTTGCGTATTCCACGCAGCCACTGTCACAGCTCTCTTGGAACACTACAAGGACCCTAGCGCTTGCATGTTCTTTGAGCCATTGCTCACTGTGCCTCTGCACCGGACCTTCCCATTTGGCCTTCAAAGCCTTGCTCGATCAGCCATTTGCAATGGGATCACCTACGATGGCATCGGGGCATTGCCACTGCCCCCTGCTCTGCAGGATTACCTCAGGGAGTATCACTATAAGCAGAGGGTGCGTGTACGCTGGCTTGAGAGGGAGCCAGTCAAGGCCAAGTGAGGCAGGGCAGATACTTCTCAGCTCTCCAATAGGAGTAGTCTATTCAGCACTTTGCAGAGGTGGAGGAATTACAATTTTTTTGGTGGGGGGGAAGGGGTTAACTGCTCGGGGTTAGATGTTTGAAAGGAGGGACCTGAAACTGAACACGATATATAAGCTTCTATCATTTTTTGTTATCACTCTAACAAACAAAGACATTATATATACAGTGGCTCTCCAGTGTGCACATTTCACAACCGCTTCTGGACTAGGATGAAGCAGCAGAGGTCTTATTCTCATTTTCCCTACTCCCTCAGTTCCTATGGCTGTGCTCTAGGGGAAATCTGCAGATACAGATATTTTCATGCCCCTCCACTCTTTCACGTCTTGACTATATGGTTTATAGCCATTTCACTTTTATTTCTGTTGTCCCGTTCACCTCCCAACCTGTCCTTAATTTTCATTGTTCTAATCTTCATTGTTTCATTGTTTGCATTGTTAAAGCAAGCTTATTCAAAATAATAATGTGGACAAATTCTGAGGGGTGGGGAAATGAAAGGTGATGTTCAAATATAGCTTTTTCGGCTTCTTTCATCATCCTTAACTTTCATGGTGCTCTGTCAGTGGTTCCCATGGTAACATTCTGTGCTCATTCCGTGGTTAGAGGAGGAGGCATTCTAGAGCATAGAGCAATAGAAAGGCTTTCGCCCTGCTCATAGAGAACGAGACCGAGAAATCCATGAAAGATGGATTGACCATAAACTATGTGTCCAGACAGCTTTTGGGAATGCGTTGCAGAAGGGCTCTGTGACGTTCTGCTTCCTTGCGCTTCCGGGAAGCGATAAGGATGACGTGCACAACCTGACGCGGTGTGATGTGAGAGCGCTTGGTTTTCAAAAAACATAGTTACTCACACTCTGCGTTCTGTTGCTGTCAATATGTTTTGTAATCATGAATTCCTACCACTAATTGCACGGGGGTGGGGGGGGGGGGGTGACTTAATTCCGTATTGTCTTTTTTGTATTGTTGTGAATGGTCTATCAGTGCCCTGGTAGTTGGGCGATGATTTAGAGCACTTTAACTTAACTGTGCTTATGTTAGTGGGTGCAGCAGAGGCAATACATAAACCTGCTACACTGGGACCATTGTTGTTAGGCATAAACACCCTCCTATATAGGAATAAACACTCTACGCTCACTTTGTCTAACCCACATTGTTTTAGAGAGGACAGAGTAAATTTTGATGTGACCCCATCAGTGCCATTGGATATGGGTCAAGCTGGCTTGTTTGGCTTGATTTTGGGATGATTTAATAATTGATGAATGATCTGTATATTTAGGTTTATCGGATTCTTTTTTTTTTTTTAAGCAACTAGGAGGAAGGTTCAGGATTTAAATAATAGAGTATAATCACATTATTGGCCCCTAGGCCAAGACCAGCTTCGTGATCACTTTAAAATCAGCCATATCCACACTTAAAATTCTTGACTAAATTTGACTTTCAAATGTCATAGGTGTTTTTGATGAAAGCTGGAAAAAGGATAAGACAGATTTATAACTTTTGTGCCGTTTGCCCCATCTGTTTAGTCTCAAAAAAGACCTAGATCACTTAAGTAGTGTGCCTTCATACATCTAAAGCTTTTAGTTCATCATATGGTGCATTCAGTGGATGTGTTACTAACAGTGGTCCAACTGGAAAAGACATGTTTTCCATTGACTGTTCCTGCACTGAGTGCCAATGGCACTGTGAGACATCCTCTTCATGGGCCTGGTGCTGATGTATGATGTATTTTGAGTACTGCTAGGAATATGACTATAGAGTATCACATCTTTCTGACTTGTTTTCAGCTGATGAGATCAGGTAGAACTGCCAAATGCTAAGCTCAGGCTCACAGCACCTAAACAGCAGTGTGGTACTGTGCGACTATAACTAGATTTGTGTGCTTGTGTGTATGTGTGTGAGTGTGTTGCACTGCCCCTGACCTCCCTGTCATGTCAACCATAAGAAACTTCTGCTGACATGAAAAGTTGTGTGTTATCCCAGGCAACACTAATTAACAATCTATCCTAATGCATTTAAAGTCGTCTTCCTGCACGTTATCCTGTCCTGAGTCTTTTTCCTCGCACAAAAATAGATGGTCAGGGTCATCCTAGGAAGAATTCAAAGACACGAGGAGAGAGCTTTGGGGCGATGCTGACTCACTACTGTGTGATTTGATCTCCTTCACCACCTCTCTTTATGTAAGGTGTGGGTGAAATTAGTGCAATTTAGACAGATCTTTGGCTTAGATGGAGGTTGTGAAGCAGGTTTCAGGTTAACATGGCATCTGAAAGGGCCAGCTGTCCTGCTTACCGCTCACCTGTAAAAGTGTCATGCTTGGCTTTGCTCCAGACACTCCTCACTGCACTAACTCATGAAACTTGACCTGTACCTACCTATACCTCTGTGTACCAATTTTTATCAGGGGTAGAACATTTGCTCAGTCAGATTGGGGCTAGACGTAATGGATTAAAATAGATATCTATGTATCTATCTATATATAAATATATATAGATACAGATTTTAAAATGAAATATTTTTAATATTAGTAACTGTAAAGAAATGCAATAATGTTCTTAGGCTTAGCTCTAATGGTGACCCATGTGAAAACTGATGTGAATTGTCTGAGAAGTAGGTCCTTTGAACTTGTCTTCAGGTTAGGATCATTGTGTTTACATCATGACAAAAAACGGATATGGTGCAATGTGTCAAAAAGGTGTGCGAGAGAAACTATAGATTAATGTGACCAAAGGTTTAAGTTTGGTGAAAAATTGTCAATTTGATAGCTTTTAGACACCATCCTCATAAAATTATTGCAAAAATGTTCCAAGATAAACATTTTCAAAGTTAAACAGGGCCTTGTTTTAGACCCTAAAGGTGCTAATTGGCTCACTGTATGGATTTATTAACTTTCAGAAGTGCCTTTTCTTAAATTTACTCACCCTTTCCTCAAGTAACCCAACTTTAGTGGTCCCCAGTCTAGTTAATTTGCATGTTGCAGCAAATTAAAGCAAAACTCCCTGTTGTAGAAAATGCAACAAAAACATATGCATTAGTTACATTTTTTTTAATACAAGTCTGTAGTTGTGTGCCACAAGAAGGTTAAAAAGTTGAAAATATCACAAAGAATTAGTGTACACAACGCTTTTAATCCCCCATATTTTATTGCCCAATTTAAAGTCTGGATTTGCTGTTTATCTGTTCACCAGAACAATATAGTTAAACATGATCAGGTGTATGATTTTATCGGTCAAAATGGATGGAGACTTTATCACAGATCACAAAGCAAGATGAAAAGTTGTGATTCTCAGATGTGATACGAAGGCTTAGATTGGCAGTGTGTGGCCTCACACATGATATGCGCCTGTCAGTAGCCTTGTTGCAGTAGCTGAAATTTCTTTTAGAAAATGACAAGACTATGTTCAAATGTTAGAAAGTCATTTTGTGTGCAGAGCCTTGCACATTACCAATAGGAAAAGTTTTCTGACAATGTTTTTTGATATGTCTCACAAACTATAGGGAGGTTGTGTTCAGCAACGTTTAGACAGAAATAAAAGACTGACTGGTTGTCTGAATTGTATTAAATTCTGTTGAATCGGTTTCAGATTCAATAAATCACAAGCATCACCATGGTAACTATGTTACCGTAAAGCTCTATATGCACATTTGTTTTAGAGAAAGGGGCTGAAGGTGAGGTTTAGGACTGGGTGTCATGGTGACAGCACTTGACATGACTTTTGCGCCACCCATGACCTGCCTCTGTATTTCTGATTGGACCCTTGAGACTAGCCCCTCAAAACACTTGCTGAAACATGCACCATGGATTATCTGGAGTGACGTGGTTATCACTGTCCCTCACCATCTTATATGTTTCAATTATTATTATTATATTTTTATACACTGCCCAAGGTTTGTACTGTACAATGTAATTACTCGCACTTGATGTCCTTTCTCTCATCTTTCCTTCATTCTCTCTTATGTACAGTTAATGGTCCCTACTCCCAGGCTGTTACTAAGTTGCTCTGTTGTATTATTTTGTTTGACTTTGGGTTACAGTTTGCTGTTTTTGGGGGGCAGAGGGTTGCAGCTCTGCTTGCCCCTCTTTCACCAGTATCTGTCACTCTTGGTGCTCTTGGCTTTTGCTTCATTGTCTTAATATTCAAAAATAAAAGTGTTGTATGTGTAATGTTTTCCTGTTTCCTTTTTTTATTTAGCACACTCTGACATCAGGTTGCTTTATATTGCTGATAAATAAATATCTATGAAAGTTCTTGGAAAAAAAGAATTTCAGAAATGTTATGTTGAAATATTTGATTTGAAAAGGTCACCTCCATTAATTTTAGTTTGTGAGGGATAATAGGTTGCAAAATTCTTTATCCTGAAATGTATTTTATTTTACATGTTTTTGTTTTTAGTTAGCCTTTGCTTAGCAGTCTATTAGCTTAGCCTACTAGCTATTGTGTTAACATGCTAGAACATCTAAGATATCATCATAACGCACTACATTTTTAATAAGACATTGAGGAAAGGGATCGTGCATGATTCTGGAACTGAAGGCAGAGTCAGGTTGTCATGTGTTTCTGCAGTGTGTTCTGTTGAAGTCAGGTAAAAATAGTAAATGGGTTCAGTTTATCTGCAGCAGACCTTTTTAATAACTGAAAGGCTGCATTGATTGAGGAAGAGATGGAAGATGGGAGGTAGGTGGGAAAATATGATGCAATCTCTCAATCTAATGCACTAGCCAAATCAAACCAGTATTATATAATGCACGTCTTACCAATTCTGCATTAACCTATGTTCCATGTGTTTTCATTCCCCTGTTCGGGGCTTCAGGTCAGTGGGTAAATGTGTAGGGACCTGCTGGAGTTCAGTATGGACGGTTGAAGCCTGCCTTTTAGACACTGCACTGTGCTATAAATATACCCAGACATCTGGGCCTTGCCAACAGTTAGAAGTTCACAGTACGGTTCTTGTGGTAGCCACAATGGAATAACTGTTCAAATCACATCTGCTTCATCTGGTCTTGTCATCCAGCTCAAACAAGGTAAGAAAAGAAATAACCCTGCTAACCAGCCAAGACACCTAAACACTGTCATTTTAAAGATTCTTCTGCTAGTGACTTTTGACTCTTAGAAAAAAAAATCCTGTTCATTTACTTTCAGGGCCTCTGTAATGCTCAGCTTTACCCCCTTGTGGCTCAAAATACTTTTCTACAAGAAGGCTGTTTCGTAAGTTCATAGAAAAGGTCCCAGGTCACTCACCTCTTATTGCTGGACCCAGTGTTGAGATTCCCTCCTCATCGACTCTGATACTATAAAATGTAGTCAGTTCATCATTAAGGCTCTCCATCTCTTTCACAGAAATGGGGAGGACAAGGGTCGGGTTGCATTCTGTCCTCTGCAAGTCTGTCTGGCTGGCGTTTGTAAAACACGTGTGTAATGGGCAGTGGACTACCAAATGACACGCAGTAAACCTATTCATCAAACAATTCACATCAACTAGATTGTCCACTAGAAATAAGGTCTAGAAATTAAGTATGTTTTCTACATATTTAAAAGGCGTCTGCTTTTTGCTGGATTAAACTCGATACAGTATCTCCCAGAAGTCTATGATTTGCTATTGATTAAAGGGGTGGTTGATTGCGATTTCACTTTTTTAACGTTAGTTAGTGTGTGTTAATGTTGCTGTTTGAGCATAAACAATATCTGCAAAGTTACGAAGCTGAAAGTTCAATGCAAACGGAGATGTAGTCTTTTAAAATTCTGGCAGTTTAATGCCTACAAAACCGGCTGGTAGGGACTACAACAAGTTACTTCCCGGGTTCA